GGTACAGTCTACTTTTAAAGGGGCCACAGAAGCAAGGGGGGTTGTTCTTTGACTATTCTGATTGGCTTATTCGAAAGGGCTATTACCAATAATTGACTGGAGAGCTGTTGCCAGATCAGATGAGGTAAGAGGTCATTTTGACCCCGTTTCCCAGGGAACCAAACCAAAACATACGTATATGGGTAATTGTTCAGGAACTGAGTACATGCATGTGTAGCTGTTAGGTCCTTGGTTCCCAGAGGAGGAGGGGAAGCACTATGGCACGGAGGCTGAGATGATTCAGAATTGTCAGAAATGGCTTCAGAATTGTCTTAAAGTCTTACAACCACAATATGAGGAACTGTATTAAAGGGTTGCCCCATTAGGAAAGTTGAGAACCACTGGTCTAAAGTGATGGGATTATAGGTATACATCACCACACATGTGTTCATGCAATCAGAGGTTTCTCTGTCCTGCCCTGTCCCACAACCACTTCTAAATAATCATTCAGATTATTAATCATAGAATGTTTGACCTATAGTTCAGACTTATTACTAACCAGCCCTTACATTAAAATTAATCCATTTCTATTAAGCTATGTATTGCCATGTTGCCATGGCTTTTCCCAGTCTGCTGGCATCTTGTTTCTTGGGTGGCTGTCTCACGTCTCCTGCGACTCTGCACTTCTTTCTCCCTGTATTCAGTTTGACTTTCCAGCCTAGCTATAATCTGCCTTGCTATAGGCCAAAGAGGGTGTCCTCCATTATCCTCCATTGTGCAAAAGGCCTGCTAGGATCCCAACAGGACTAATGATATTGTCAGTGCCAGCTCCCATCAGCAGATCCAAAAGCTGATCAAACATGGGCTGATCATCCACAGCCCCATGACATCATCCTATGGCTTGGTGTTACAAAAACACCTTGGTTTGTTGGTCAGGTGGAGAGTGCAGTCAGTGCTCTGATGTCCACTGTCTGCTGGGTGGAGAGGATGTGGAGTGTGCAGTGGCTACTCAGGAGATACTGCTGTGAATCTGAGAGCTGATTGAGAGCTGTGTCCCAGCCCATCCTTTCAGGGGAAGGAGAACATACTCAAGACAAATTTTCAGAGATAGACCAACAAGCTGAAGCTAGACAGCCTGCCAGAAGTTTTTGGCCATCCTCACACGATGCAGCCTGCACGAGGAGCACCTTGAGGCCAGGGAGGAGATCCAAGATTGGAGGTACATACTTCTAATCAGGAGTCAAGGCCATCTCTTGGCTACACAGTGAATTGGAGGCCAGCTCAGGTTATGTGAGACCCTGTCTCAAAACAAATGGAAAGGGCTCTGTCTAAGAAAGAAAAGGAGGAAAAAAAAGATGCCTTTCTCCTTTCTGTATGTGGCTATAGAAGTAATACAGGTAAGTCAGTAGACTAAAACAAGCTTTTATTAACTTTAAGACTCGTGTGGGGAAGCTGAGAATTAGCTCAGTTGGTCAAGTGCTTGCCTAGCGTGAGTTCTACATTCACTTCCCAGCACCACATAAACTGAGTGTGCTGGTGAGTGCTTGTGATCCCAGCACTGGAGGTGGAGGCAGGAGCCTTAAAAATTCAAGGTCATCTTTAGCAGTTAGGCTAGTTGCAACCAGCCTGAGATACACAAGGAGACAGGGTTTCTCTGTGTAGTCCTGGCTGTCCTGGAACTCTGTAGACCAGGCTGGCCTTGAGCTCACAGAGATCTGCCTGCCTCTGCCCCCCCCCCCAAGTACTGGGATTAAAAGTGTGTGACATCACTGCCCAGCTTTTCATGAGACACTGTCTTAAAAAACAAACAAAGAAGAAAACTAAATGTTAACAAGTGCTGTGAGCCACAGCATTGTAGAGTAAAAGCACAGCTGACAGATCTACAGACAGAGCCTCCAGAGTGTGATCTGGTGGAGAACCCAATCTGCACAGCGTCGGGAACACTTGTTTTTTTGGATAGTCACTGTCAGTTCTGTAAAATCTTGTGACGCCTTGGCTCTTCTCCCGTCCATAATGGGATTCATTCCAAAATACCACAGCAGTGTGTAGATCATTCCTTGAGATAACTTCCTTCTGTACTGGCCCTCATTGTGGGGCACCGGTTTGAAAGCATTCACTCAGCCAAACCTTTGTTCTCATAGTCAAATCTACATAAAGCTAGTCCTCTCCAATTATGCTTACCTACAGGAATTACTGACAGGAAAGGAGCCCTGAGTAGGAGGCGCTGATTAGGAGAGGCAGTATGTCTGCTCTTACTGATAAACAGGTCTGGATGGCTCTGAATTCTCTAACTGCCAACTCAGGAGAGTGTAACCTACTGGTCTTTGCTCTTCCCTAACCAGCTATTAATATCTGTACTTACCTTCACCTTTCACTTGACACAAGGTCTTAGTCTAGGAAATTAACTGATCCTTTACCCATAAAATATACAGGAAAAAAGCTTAGGTTACTAAACTAGCCCCAGAGAAAGAAATTCCTTCTCACCTGGGTGCCAGTGGATACAGCACTCTGATACTTAGCCTGTCTCAATCCTAATCCTAATCCTCCCAGTGTCTGCTGGGGAACTTCACAGTCGCTCCTTCTGAGACATAAGATACCCACCTTGTCAGTCTTTTATCCATCCTGTTAGCCCTAAGAAGTGCATGCTTGGTATCATTGTTATTAACTATGTCTGTGTGGGTATATAAACTGGAAACCTTGCAGGATGGGTAGAATAGCAAGGAATATCGAGAGAGCATTAGAGAGAGCATAGTAAGGATAAATGGGACATGATAAAAATACTGACGTGAGCGAATTTATTTTATTTACCCACAGACCTTATTAGTCAGGTTTTCGCCTGTTATAGCAATCCTTCTGCATCCTGAGAGGTTTAGTGAGACTTAATCCCAACAGAAACCTTGATAAATAGGATGTAAGCAACTGGACTTCACAGGACAGTGCTAATCAGTTTGTAAAGTTGGAGAAACTCATTCTGTTTAAAAGTGATGCTGCCAATCCTAAACCACGTGGTAAAAGGAAAGAACCAACTCTTACAAGTTGTCCCTGACTTACGACTTACACACATACACACATGTGAGTGTAGGGGCTGGAGAGATGGCTCAGTGTCTAAGAGCTTCCTGCTCTTGTGGAAGACCCAACTTCAGTTTCTAGAGCCTATGTCAGGTGGCTCACAAACATCCAGGGAGGAATCTGATGCCTCTGGTTTCTGCCAGGACTCACACAATCACACACAACCTCCCTCCCTCTCTATCTCTTAATTTAAAATACAATAAAAATAAATTTGATAAAAATTAAAAACTGTTTTACTTTAAGACATTTAAATTTTTTCTAATTTTTTAAATGTCTTAAAGTAAAACCTATGTTCTGACAGTTCTATATGAAAAAAAAAATAGGGGATGGAAAGATGACTTAATGGCTAAAAGCCTGGGTTCAGCTCCCAACACCCACATGGTGACTCACAACCATCTGTCATCTACTTACAGGGGCTCCACCTCCCTCTGCCCTCTTCAGGCATTGTACACACATGGCATACTCGCATACATGCAGGCAAAACACACACATGTAAAAAATAATTTAAAAATCTTCTTTGAAATAAAAGAAAAGTAATACAGGTTTCTGCTCCCCTCACTCTCCTTTTGAGACCTGGCCTCAGTGTGCAGTCCAGGACAGCTATTCCTATTCCTTCCGCCTCTCAAGGGCTGAGACTACACTGTCAGGCCTAGCTCGCCACAAGAAAACAAAACGTATGCAAGAATGGCCATAGCACTTTTGCTCTGGTAGCAAAGCATGGAAATGGCCCAGATGCCCACCCGTAAATACAGAAGCTAAGTGTGGTGTTTGTGTGCAACACAATGATGCTTAGCAACAAGGGGAAGTGACTCCTGCCTCGGGCTGCTTCCTCTGTAGCTCTGGCGGTAGAAGTCAGTTCAGGATCCATCCTTGGCTACATAACAAATTTGAGGGCAGCTTGGGAGACTTGAGAACCTGGCCTAAAGCAGAGGCCATGGGCAGGGAGGGACCTGAGAAAATTCTTAGGGAGACAGAATGTTCTGTATCTTGATAAGGTATGGGTTGTTCTGGTAGATTAATTTGTCAAATCTGGACTTGAACCTGAACTTGAACTTGAATCTTTACATTTGTTGTTTATGGACTTGGAGGTCAGAGGTAGCTGGCCTGGGTTCAAATCTGCTGTCCCCTTTTGCTTCCTGGGTTTGCCACCACCTGCCTGTGATCCAGGATAAATTTCCTAATTTCTCCAGTGCAGACCATCTATCTGTTGTTTCTGTAAGGTTTGAAGTGAGGTTGTGGGAAACCAGTCTAGAAGAGCTAGTTCTAGTTCCAGGACAGGAACCAAAAAGCTACAGAGAAACCCTGTCTCGAAAAACCAAAAAAAAAAAAAAAAAAAAAAAAAGGCAGATTCTGTTTCACACAAGGTTTTACCAGGCTTTTAAAAAGATTTTTTTATTTATTATATATGCAGTGTTATACTGTATATATGTATATACAGTGTTATGCCTGCCTGCAGGCAAGAAGAGGGTACCAGATCTCATCACAGCTGGTTGTGAGCCACCCTGTAGTTGCTGGGAATTGAACTCAAGACCTCTGGAAGAACAGCCAGTACTCTTAATCTCTGAGCCATCTCTCCAGCCCCCAGGAGATTTAGTCTTAATTCTGGTAAATATGCGTCCCCATTCCACACATCCAGAATTTACTACAATGGCCCCATGTTGGATGAAGCTAATGGGGGAACTCACATGGAGATGTGTATCCCCAGGCTTGATATCTCAGGGTACTGTGTTTGATAGCATCATGGCTACCTAGCCAGCAACCTACACAGGATACTCTGAGGTACCTGGCAGCCAAGCCAAGGCTCCGTACCCCATTTGGAAGGACAGCCAGGTGACATACGCCAGCATTCAGCTGCAGAGGTAGCCTCCTGTCCTCCTCTGAAGTAGTTTATATACCAGGTGAAAGAGCAGTCATTTGACAAAATAATTACAGTGTGTATTGTTTCTCTGCAGGAACTGTAAGACTGACCAGTTTGGCATGTGGAAATCAGCACATCTGGGCCTGTGACTCCAAGGGTGGAGTTTACTTCCGTGTTGGAACCCAGCCTCTGAATCCCAGTCTGATGCTTCCGGCCTGGATCATGATTGAGCCACCTGTCCAGGTAAGCAAAGCCAGCTGGACAGAACTCGCTTTTATTAAGAGGGAAGCTGTTAGGATGCCTCCCGGGGCACATGGAGAGGTGTGCCCTGTCAGTACTCCGGTCACTTGACAGTCCACGCTTGGAATTTGGTATTTGTTAAGTTTATAGCTAAACAGGTTATTCAAGATTATCTGAAGCATCACAAGTTTTTTTTTCTTTTAAAATAAATATATTTGATTTCTCACCAAATGAAAATTACCCTTTAAAAAAAATTAAACACTATTCAGAATACAAAGAAGAAAGTAAAATTTACATAAAGTGTTACCATGGAGATAATCTATTCTCAGTGGGTTTTGTTGTTTTCCCTAGCAATACTGGAGACTGAACCTAGGGCTCACAAATGCCAAGCACTCTACCCTGACCTGCAGCCGTGGTCCTGTTATTAGTGTTCAGTGAGTGCCTTCCCTAGCCTTTAGAAGTTTTGTTTCCCAGGTTAGTGGAGCGTTGCCTATCATGTGTGGGGATTTAGTTCAAGCACTGCCTTTCCCAAACCTACTGCCCGGCTCCTGTGGATTTCAGGTTATAGAGTGTTCTCACGTGGTTGTTTGTCAGGTTATAGAGTGTTCTCACGTGGTTGTTTGTCAGGTTATAGTGTGTTCTCACTGGTTGTTTGTCAGGTTATAGAGTGTTCTCACGTGGTTGTTTGTCAGGTTATAGTGTGTTCTCACGTGGTTGTTTGTCAGGTTATAGAGTGTTCTCACGTGGTTGTTTGTCAGGTTATAGTGTGTTCTCACTGGTTGTTTGTCAGGTTATAGAGTGTTCTCACGTGGTTGTTTGTCAGGTTATAGTGTGTTCTCACGTGGTTGTTTGTCAGGTTATAGTGTGTTCTCACGTGGTTGTTAGATAGTTGCTCCCAAAGACCTCAATAGGCTTGGTTTATGTACTAGATATGTTTCTCTTAAACTATGTAAGGAGAGATAGCTCAGCAGTTAAGACCACTGACTGTTCTGCTAGAGGACAGGGCCTCAACGTCCAGCATCCACATGGTGACCCACTAACCACCCCTGACTCCAGTTTAAGGTGATCCAACATCCTCTTCTGGCCTTGGTGGGCATCAGGCACACGTGTGATGCATAGACATACATGCAGACAGAACACTTTATACACATAAAAACACAAACATAGGCCAGGCAGTGGTAGCCCACACTTTTAATCCCAGCACTCAGGAGGCACAGGCAGGTGGATATCTCGAGGCCAGCCTGGTCTACAGAGTGAGTTCCAGGACAGCCAGGGATACACAGAAAAACAAACAGAAAAAAGCCTTTATGTGAGGGGCCATAACATCTCCAGAGTTATTTTCTCAGACTTCTGTGAGTTTACAGGGACTTTTCCTGTCTCTGCCTCCCATCTCTCCATGGAGAGCTAGGATTAGGGATGCATATAACCACCTCTGACTGTGTGGGCTCTGAGGTCCAAAAAGTTAGTCAACTTCATCGTTCTTTCAAAATACCCTCTTTGGTTTTATTGATATTCTATATTTTCCTATGCTTTATATATTGCTATTCTAACTTTTCTCATTTCTTCCTCTCATTCTGTGTACCGTGCTTTGCTTCATATTGATGTCCCACTGATAGCTCTGAGCTGTATTTATTACAGTTGTGCATTTTTGAAGCCCCAGGATCACAGTTGGCTGTATGCAGGCTTTGGCACATAGCAGTGTCATAATAAGTAAAGAGCTAGACCGCACATTATGGTGGCAAAGACCCTGTCCTCAGCCTCCGCCACAGGAACCTCTCTGCTTGCTGGACAGCGTGAACAACAGTGTTGCAGGAAGGACTGTGTCAAGTCACAGACTTCTGCTTCTGTCTCCGTCTAGACTCCGCAATAACCTCAAGAAAGCAAAACTAAAATGGAGACGAGAGTTTTAACATAAGTGACTATAGTGATGGACAGCTGGACACAGGAAAACACCAGAATAGAATAAAGTCACCTGAAAGAACTTTAAAACTGTGCTGAGTAAAGCAGACTGTTAATGGCTGTAAAGCACACACCCTTCAGTAGCTCTGCTGAGCTGAGCTGCATTTTCTCATTTTGTACATTTTGTTGTAGAAGGAATTCACTATGCCTGGGAATTTGGAACTATAAATGCTTTCTCATTTGTTCCTAGGGGAAACTTTGTTTGTGTGTTACCCTTCACACTGCACCTTTCCAGGACCTGCCCTATCCTTAATCCTGCTTTTGCCCCAACAAGCAGAAGCCAGAGGGGTTCCATCTTTATAAGGAAATGGTTTTGTTTAGAGCAGTTTAGCAGCCTGCCCAGCATCACAACCCTGCTATATGAGGCCGACTATAGTGGACCCAGTCCTGCTCCCGCTAACTGCAAGGCTTCTGATGGACAGGACTATGTCATTTCTAAGGTTAGAGGCAACAATGAGCTATTACCGCTTGTCTCCTTGTACCAGCCTAAATGCTTTAAGCACGTGTGTCCTCCCTCATGGCAACCCAAAAAAGCAGTTACTTCTGTCCTTTTCTCCCTCCCCGCCAACCCCCTTCAGCCAGTGGGGCCTGGGACCCCCAAGCGCCTGAGGCTCCCCACCCCCCACAACTCCCCACCCCTCCCAGCTCCCAGCCTGCCTGCTCCCCCCCACCACCGCAGGCCACCCCTGAGCCCCGCACCTCAACCTCAGCCCTGCCTGGGATCAGCTGGAGCCCGGTCGTGCCAGAGGGACAGGCAGCTGCCCCCTTTCTCCTTTTTGTTTGGATTGGTTTCTTTTTTTAAAGACAGGGTCCATATCATTTAGACTAATCTCAAATTTACTGTGTAGCCAAAGATATGTTTGACTCCTGGTCCTCCAGCTTCTCTATCCTGAGTGGTGAGATTATAGGTTCGTACCACCCTGCTTGGCTAAGGTTGACCTTGACCTTGGTGTGTCTTCCTGCTCCAGTCTTCCTGGTGCTGAGGGGACAGAGAAGACAGTCCAGCTCAAAATGATTCAGGAAGTTGCCAGAGGCGTTATCTCTAGTAGGTGGCCTAGGGTTGCCCTAGGCCTTTGCCCTAAAACACCAAGGTTTATGATTCATGTGGGACCAGGCCTGTTGGGAAAATGGAAACTGAACTTTCTCCAGTTCTCAGAAGTTTGCTGACTGCTTGTCTTAGCAGAACAGCCCAACCACGGCCTCCTGCTGTTCTAAAGGCCAGAGCTCCCAATACACACACACACACACACACACACACACACACACACACTTGGCTTTTTGCAGTCCCCTTTGCCTGCAGCGGTTCCTTCTTCCTTATTGCTCTCCTACCACACTCCCGTCCAACTGAAAACACCCTGTAAAACCCAAACTTCTCTGGGGACAGCCCAGCAGTTCATACCCTGAGTAAAGCTTCAGTGGGTTCTGGTTCTCTCTCTAAGCCATGCAAGTGGCAGAGCTAGAGCGCAGAGTTGGGTGCCGCCGGATTTGGTTCCTTCCTATGGCGCTAGGGTCCTAGACCTATGCTGGGACACTGACTCCAGGCGCTGTGAGGGTGGCCATGATGCTCCCTTGAGCTCACTGACATCACTCACAGGTTAGTGATGAAGCCAACAGTTAGCAGTGAGAGGGATGGTGAGGATTCAGTAAAAAGATCCAATAGTCAGGAAGATTTTTCTGAATCTAAACTTTAGGAATTATGTAGAAGATCCATACCAGACTGTAACTGACCTGTGTGCCCGTGGTGCCTCTGCACCTCTGCTCAGGCTTCGTATCTGGTGAAGGACGTCCTCAGAGCTGAGCAGAGGAGGAACCACCGAGGGTGCCCAGTCACATGAAGTGAGCAACAAAGCCTCTCCAGTTAGCAGCAGCTCCTCTATTTTTGTTTCCTGGTCTTTGGTAAAACCTCCCTCTTATAATGGTTTTGGGGTGAAGTTTTTACAAAGTATTCAAAACAAATGAGTCAGTTTTCAGACTTGCTAGTGTTTGGGAGGCCTTGGAGGAAATATTTTTAGTTGTATTTAGCAGCTTTCAGAAGTGGAGTTTGCAGGGTTTTCTGTCCATATTCAGGGTGCCTCTAAGGCGAGCACAAGTAATGGTGTGTTCATTGCACTACGGGCTCTGTGGGCTGCATAAAAGAGGAGTCCTCAGTGCTGGAGACATGGCTCAGTGGTTAAGAGCACTGGCTGCTCTTCTGGAGATCCTGAATTCAATTCCCAGCAACCACATGGTGACTCACAATCCTCTTCTGACATAAAACCTGACATGCAGATAGAGTACTTATAGACATCAGATAGATAGATAGATAGATAGATAGATAGATAGATAGATAGATAGATGATAGATAGAAGTCCTCAAGTAATTACATCCCACTTGAGGCTGAATCTTCTTCCAGGAGAACCCTCCTTAGCATTCGTTGGGTCACTCTGCGCAGGTGCTGCTTCTTCCTGATTCATCTCCATTGCTCAGCTGCGGAGCCATCTGCCCCAAGTTGTCTCTGCTACGTAGTGTCCTTACTGGACACCCAGTGTTACTTACTAGACTGTGGAGACTTGGCCTGGCTGAGTGAACTGTATAACACAACCTCCATAGAGCTGGCAAGTAGCCAGACTAACATGTAAAATGTTACTTAAATTTCACTGCTGTTACTGTTACTATGTTGTGGTTCTCTGAAGTTTCATTGGGCTGTGCTGGTCTGTGAACATGGGAGGTCTTCCCATCTTCCAATTCTTTCCTTAGTGTTGTAATGTTTTCATTGCAGAGGTCTCTTACCTCCTTGGGTAGTTTAGTTCATTTCAGTTTTTATATCATATATTGTCACTTTTTGCTTGGTTTTTGAAGCTATTGTGAATAGGTCTTTTACACTTTACATACATACACTTTGTGTATGTGGTATGTACATGCATGCACATCTGGAAACCAGACCTCGGCATCTTGTGCCACTCCATAGCCCTCTGCTTTTTTGTTGTTGTTGTTGTTGTTTTGTTTGTTTGAGACAGTATCTTTCACAGGAGCCAACACATAAGCTAGACTGGCTAACCAATGAG